ATAAACATAATTTGTGCAACATATTATACTATAAAAATGATATAACAGTTATGCACAAAATCGACGGCCATATTGGACGCCATCTTGGATTTGGAAGAAGTATGAAAGAGAAATTTTGTGAGATTTAAAATTTTTGAAAAGGAGAAATTATATGCATGCTTTTGGTGTGAGTTAAAGGTCTGTACAAAAAATTGGAATGAATGAGCTAGAATATACTCAAATTTATATGGCGGCCATTTTTGAAAATGGCGGCCATCTTGAATGAACAGAGATATTTTTGGGCCCACTTCACTTTTGAAATCTACATGGTCTAAAGATGATTTCCTGAAAGTTTCATGCTTGTATCACAATTTGCACTATTTTCTCAATTTCCCGCCCCACTATATTGTATAAATTCGTCTGCGGTCTAGCGCCATTAATTTTAGTAAGCCAGATTCTTTATAGAAAGACGATTTATTTACAAGATACTCATTTTATAAGAATTTACATCATAATTTGTTACTGTCTCGCATTATATAATTATACTTATTTGACTTTGAACATTATTTTTCTGCTGTTATGATAAATGATATAAGCGGCTACGGTTCACTGACTTGCATATATATTTTTATGGAACGCCGTTAACGTCTTAAATTTAAATACGCGATTATATGAGCGAAATTTTGATTTAAATGCATTCCTGTGCTATACTTAAGTAAATTATTCATAAGTATCATATGTTAATAAACTCATAAGTTGTAATAACATCTAAATATCTGATATCTGTGTGTGTATTTAATTACAAATGAACATTGCTCATCATTTTACTGTGAATAATGTGGACAGTTGCTGCTATATATAATAACTTATATATTATATTGTGTGTTGACATTATTTATTTATACACAAAATAATTTTGTTAAGTGATACATCTGATTTGTTCTACATTTTTGATTATACATATCTGGTTCAACTGCTAGTAAAGGGCTCATCTTCAAGGTCTTTTGCCCAATTAATTCAAACCATTAGTGCAGTAACGTCCCTTAAAGATTGCAAAAGAAAGCGCTACCAAAAATAGATCAACAGACAACTCCTGTTAAAGCCCTGTACTGCCGGCACGCGACAATATTGCAACAAGAGGGCCATGATGGCCCCAGGTCGCTCACCAGAAATAACTGCTTTTCAGAGTTGGAAATTATCCATTGTCAATATTGTCTGATATTTAATTTGAGCATAGAATATGTTTAAACAATAATTTGAAGAAATGCCATGGCCTGGGGCATTTAAGCTTTAGCTTAAACTGTGCCAATCAAATTAATATGAGCAAACTTGATAAAAGACTACCTAATAATGCTACAGTTTGGTGATCATCCATCAATTACACTGTAGTTCTGTAGAAATAAACGTTTAAAGGTATTTCTATTTTTAGCTTTAGCAGGGGCCAATCAAATAAATATGATCAAAATTGATAAAAGACTACCCAACAATGCTACAGACAAAATTTGGTGATCATTCATCAATTAGTTCTATAGAAGAAGATGTTTAAAGGTTATTCTATTTTTAGCTCTAGAGACCCCTAAAAGGGGCCAATCAAATTAATATGACCAATCTTGATATCAGACTACCCAAGAATGCTACAGACAAAGTTTGGTGATCATCCAACAATTAGTTCTGTAGAAATAGACGTTTAAAGGTATTTCTATTTTTAGCTTTAGCTGCCCCTAAAAGGGGCCAATCACATTAACATGAGCAAACTTGTTATCAGACTACCCAAGAATGCTACAGACAAAGTTTTGTGATCATCCATCAATTAGTTCTGTACAAGAAGACATTTCAAGGTTTTTCTATTTTTAGCCCTAGAGACCCCTTAAAGGGACCAATCAAATTAATATGAGCAAATTTGATAAAAGACTACTCAAGAATGCTACAGACAAAGTTTGGTGATCATCCATCAATTAGTTCTCTAGATATAGATGTTAAAAGGTATTTCTATTTTAGCTTTAGCAGCCCCTAAAAGGGGCCAATCAAATTAATGTGAGCAAACTTGATATCAGACTACCCAAGAATGCTACAGACAAAGTTTTGTGATCATCCATCCATTAGTTCTGTAGAAGAAGATGTCTAAAGGTTTTTTCTATTTTTAGCCTTATAGACCTCTAAAAGGGGCCAATCAAATTAATATGAGCAAACTTGATAAAAGACTATCCAAGATTGCTACAGACAAAGTTTGGTGATTATCCATCAATTAGTTCTGTAGTAGAAGATGTTTAAAGGTTTTTCTATTTTTAGCTCTGTTGACCCCTAAAAGTGGCAAATTGAAATGACATGAGCAAATTCAAGTGTGACTGTCACAAGGATGCTACAGACCAAATTTGAAGTAAATCTGCCCAGTGGTTTCAGAGAAGAAGGCGATTGTTGACGCATGATGACAGACGCCAGAGTATCCCCCTTTGATACTAATAGCTCACCTTGAGCCTTCGGCTCTGGTGAACTAAAACCAGGGCCATGATGACCCTAAAATCGCTCACCTGTATATAGGCCACTGGGGCGAGCCAATTTTAACCCAGGGGCTTTTATTTGAACAAACTTGGTAGACACCCATTTGAAGATGTTTCTTGATAAATATCTAAGCTCTAGCTGTTAGAAGATTTTTTAAAAGTTTTTACTATACACATATAGGGAAAAACAATGATCGCCCCCCACCCCCCCCCCCCCCCTCTGAGCGGGCCCAATTTTGTCCCCAGGGCTTTTATTTGAACAAACTTGGTAGTCACTCACTAGAAGATAGTTCATGCTTAATATCTTAACTCTAGCTTTTTTGTTTTTTTTAAAGAAGATTTTTTAAAGTTTTTACTATATACATATAAGGAAAATCAATGAACCCCAGGGCAGGACGAATTTAAACCCCAGGGCCCTAATTTGAACAAAAATGGTAGACACCCATTAAAAGATGTTTCATGCTTAATATCTAAGCTCTAGCTATTTGGGCTTTTTAAAAGATTATTTTTTAAGTTTTCACTATATACAAATAAGGAAAATCAATGACCACCCCCCCCCCCCCGGGCGGAGCCAATTTTGACCCCAGGGCATTTATTTGAACAAACTTAGTAGACACTGACTAGATTGTTTTATGCTAAATATTTAAGCTCTAGCTCTTTTCTAAAAGAAGATATTTTTATTTTTTTCTTTCAGTTGCCATGGCAACCAGAGTTCTGCTAAGAATTAAATTCTTTGAACAATTTTTAAAGTTGACTACCAAAGGAACATTCCTGTGAAGTTTGGATGAAATTGGCTAGGCAGTTGATGAGATGTCGTTTAAAGTAAAAGTTTAGGGCCAGATGAAAAGCGATCACAAAAGCTCACCATGTCACTTTGTGACAGGTGAGCTAAAAACAGCGACTGTTATACTTAGGAAATGTTTTCAAGCGCATTGAACTCGTTCCTTTTCTCTTCAGCATATATCGTATAAGACGGCTAGAGAATCTATGTTAAAAATTGAGAATCCATCGGTTTAGAAAAATCACAATTCAATTTGCATTCATTAAGATCAGGTGGTGCTACTACTGCAGCTCATAATGGAGTTTCAGGCAGATAATTTAAGAATCATGATTGTTAGCAATCAGATCATGGTTATGTGTGGGAAGATGATACATGTGTTATGAAAAGATCAGTTTTATTAAATCCTGAACTTTTTTTTTAGTTGAAATAAATATTCAGTGTGTCATTGCTACTCCTCTAGTGGTTGTTTATTTATTATAACATTAATGATTAGATAATAAATAATTTATGTTTGGCTGATTGAAATGAAAGAAAACTGAAGTCAATTTATTTAGTTTATGGATCTTAAGATTAACAGTGCGATCCAAAAGTTCTTGGTCAAATTTATCATCGACTGGTAAATTGTCAAGGATTTATTAAAACAGAAACAGGCATTACAGATAATATAAGAGTACATGTGACTTGTTAAGGAAGTTGAATCAATAACAACTTATATATTTACTTACATAAGTATACATAAAAGTCCCATATATATAACAGTTTTGCGTTTTTCCCTGTGATGTACTCAACTACACGTAGTTGGTCACAGAGAAACTCAGAAACTGGTAATTACTAGTTATGCAGGAAAGTAGGCGGATCCACTACTGAGGATTTAAAATCATAATCAGATAAACAAAACTGGTTCTCTTTTAAAGGCACATTATAATTTATTAGGCCTCTGACACAAATAAACTTTTCACTCTTTAAAAATGCAAAATGAGTTTAAAAACATTTAAATAATGGTCGATGCTCATCACTTGTAAAAAGAAGCATTGAATGTGACACTATTTGTCAAAACAAAAAGAGCAAAATATAAACAAAGTAGTATTAAAATACTAAATCACTTATTGCCAAAATATCAGGGTTCAGGTATTTGTCACATAAGTGTCTTTTTGGATAACTCAAACAAAAATAAGATTGCATTTGTGAAAAAATGCTATGCCACCGCATTAATAAAACACTAGGAACAGAAGTAGTTATTATTTGTTTATATGCAGGAGAGTCTAGTGCATATTTCAGCATTTAAAATAAACGAAGTGCATTAAAAATTTTATAATCAGCATCAGATAAACTAAACTGATTCTCTTTCAAGCATCACTTCTTACCCATCAAATTTATTCACAATTTCATGTACCCAGCAGGAATATAAGTTGAAGTATTAGTTTATTATAGGCCTTATGCAAGTTTGTAATAGAACTATATCTGCAGGCTGTTGCACTAACAAATTTTCCGGGTTCCGCAGCACAGCTACATGGTTTGCCACAAGTAGCTGCAAAATTCTTGTGTCATTTCAAAGAGCAGTAGAACCCCAATAGCGTCAAATAGCGACTTCAACCAAATTGTAACAGTAAATATAAGCACTATTCAGAAAATTGAATTTGTACCACAATGCAGTCTTCTTTATTTATTGCAGAAAGCTGAATAAGAAATAAGGGCCGAGGGGAAGTTATAATTTCAATTTCAAATGAAAACAAACGCCACAATTTTTGTGAAGTGTACAAGTTTATTATCCTCTCTTACATACACATATATATATAGAAGGTTTGATGCATGACCTGACATGATGTAAAGGTGCAGAGTTGTACACTACACAAATCACAACACTGAGTTACATATTTATAGACCTGTGTTTTACATTATACACTGTCGAGTTACACAAACGCTTATGATGAGTGAGTAAAACAAAGTAAAAATCTCATTTTATTTCTTATATTTCCTTAACAAGTTTGGCAGTTCAGTGTTCCGTTCCATCTTATAAATCAAAATGTATTTAAAATTCTAAAATAATTATAAAACTTAAAAAAAAATTACTACTGGTTTTAATAGAAGTCAACTATATAAATATATGAATGAGGTATCAAAACACAAGACGCGGCTTACTGTAACCATGGTTTTCCTACTCTTAACCAGATATTTCTGCTTGTGACAATACTGTCAATCTGTTATAGTAACAGTAGACGAGAAAGCAAAGTGCCGGTGCCGCCATGATCAAGGACATACAGTGCCTACAGCTAGCTAGGTAGACAGACCAGGGAATTTTTATATCAATATACTATACATAATGGAATGTTTGGTCTAATCCCCCACCCCTGCTTCACTCTATCATATCACAGATAACACACTCCCCCTCCCTAGCCTTAAACCCTCCTAAACACTCTGGAACCCTTATATATTATTTTCACCAAGACTATTTTTCCCCGGCCTTCTACATGATTTTATTCCATGCAATTGTCACACATTCACTGAATGTGATATTTTTTCAACAGTGACAATGGCTTAAAGCTAAGACATAAATCTGTATCCCTTGGGTGCCATGAATTACCTCCCTTACTGGTTACTTGAATGTAACTCCACAGTGTATAAAAACAGTGAACTTGTACACTTCAAGATTTTTCTGCAAAAGCATGACATCTCTGGGTATGGCAGTTTGTAGTTAATATCATTCAGTATCTCTATATCTATTCTTGTTACTTTTTTTTTGTTTTATTCACTTTTCTATGAATTTTATAAAAAAAAAAATTTAACTTTAAAAAACTTTTTAATTCTAAGTTTGATCCTTTGAAATAAACATTAAGTGCCATACACAGAGTTGGTTTTAAACATATTTAGCAGGTCACAGCAAAAAATGCAGTTTTTTCAAAGAAACATCTATATTGTTGTAAAAAGAATGAAGAAAAAATATCACATTTTCAGGTTAATAAACAAAGAAAAAAATAATTTTTAAAAAATGCCTCACCAAATTGGTCAGTTTTACAACCAGCTATGTGAAAATTTGAAAAAAATAAAATAAAATGCAAATCTAGTTACTTGCGAGTTATCACAAAAGTAAAAATTAAATGTAAGTTTTATTTGAAAATTCCTTTATAGATTATTTGCAGACTTACAACCAAAGTTTATTAATCATCGAGATATGCTGGCAATATAACCTCATTTCATATTTCATTCAAAATTCATTAGTTAATACAGCAAAATGACCTGCCGTTATGCAAAACATATATGAATTGTAAATATGTACTGAATAAAAGTATAATCAAGTTATAATAAAAACATATGAGTAAATGTACAAAATGGAAGTATGATAAAAATCAGCATAAAACTAAAAAAATGTACATTAAAAACATCTATAAATATGGTAAATATTGAAAAAAAAGAAGAAAAACTTGGACCTTATTTCAAAATATGACATTACCTTGAAAACACTTAACACTGATCATACTAAACAATTGTACACGTAAGGTTGAACTTTTGGTTTATCTATCATGGCACACAAACAAAGCACTGCATAAAGCGCATGAGAAAAAAAAACTTCCCTTTCTTATCTCAATTTTTTTTTTTTTTACAAAAAATCCTTTTTCCTACCAATAATAAGGGTGGTTTCTTTTCTTTCCTAATTCTACTTTGCTTTAGTATTTAGAATGTTAGAATTTTGCATGTTAAGGTCACATATCTTTCTCCTTGCGTCGAAATATTGACTTAACAAGTTTAACATCTGTACTTACTTAACAGTACTTCAAGACTGGTTAATTTGTGTAAATATTTGTGTAAATTTTGTGGGTAAACTTTCGGTCAAAGTTTGTGTACATTTGTATAACATTTAAGACTATAAATGATTCAGATTCGGTCAAAATTCTCGTTTTTATCCATTTTCTTGAAAAATATGAAACTTTTTGAAATATGAGTTTTTCAATATTTAACATTACGCTAGTCATTTTTATTAAGATATACAGAAACTATATTGTTTACCTATTAACAGTACATATAACATCACTGGCCTTGTTATTTACATTATGTTGAAAAAAAAACAGAAAGAAAAACAGTATGATACACACAAAAAGAAAGGAAATCGCAGATCTAAAAGCTGTTACATAGCAAGCTACCCATGACTGTTGTTTTTAATAACGAATGAATAAGAATAATCACGAATAATCATACATTTAGTAAAAGATTCTCCTATAAACATACAGAGAGCTCTATGCGCGTAACAACATATACTAATTCAATGTACAAAACAACATTATTTAAAATATTGCAGAACAAATACTTGATTATAACAAATGAGAGTATGGTCACGTTTTTCATTGATGAATATACAAAAACAAGACATATATATTTATATCTGTAATATGAACATTTAAGCCGAACGATTAGTATGATGATTACTTTGAATGCTTACGATCCTTATTTGGACAAAGAAAAACAGAAAGCTTAAATATTGTAAATTTATTTACGATGATTTTCCAAATTCTGCCGACGCACAGACAGTTTCATTTTGTTCAACAACGGCTACTGGTGAATATCCTACAATCAGCGCAAATCTCACTCGGTGACACAAGTATCGAAAAGAAATTTCTACAGAAAACGTTTTCAATCTGTTACATAACTTACAACAGACGTAATTTTTTAATTCTTGAAATTTGAGTCGATTTCAAAATAATATGGAATTAAATTCTCTATCAAACTGATAAACATTATAAACTAGTTGGTTCCCATTTCAAAGTATCTGTATGTAGGATTTTCGTATCCGTTCATCTGCATATTAGCAACATGGCGTTCTTCTGGTGATGCGGCAGGATCAACTTCTACAAATCCGTGAGTGATTGGCTGTCGTCTGCTTCTCTTCCTCATCATAACCACGGCAACCACGATGATGATCAGAACTGCGACACTTCCTACCACAATTCCAACAACATTTGTCGTAGTAGCTGCAGAGCCAGTAGCTGTTCCAACAAAATTGGGGTTCTACAAAGAAAAGAAAATGTACCAATTCTTTAAAAATTGCCTTCAAACATGCATTTTAACAATAAAAGTTTTACGAGAAAAGCATTAAACCATGATAACACTTTGAAGACAACATAACCACATAAGGCCCGTCCTGACATTCATGACTACGGCAAGGACCATTATTTATCCAAAAATGTGGCGTAAAACATTGCTGCACAATTTCAAGAACTAATATCATATTTCAAATATACAATTCATGCCTACCACAAGAACAGACAAATGTATATTTCAAAACTTTGTCTGGATGGAGTTTATTAGACCTCTTATCAGGAGATCTCTCTCATATCCTTTAATGTCCTAACATTTTTTTCATCAAAAAAATATTAGTGAATAAGACAAGATGAATCAATCAACTATTTATACATGCTATAAACTAACCAGAAATAATATTAAATTGAGTTATAAGTCACATGGCCACTGTAAGTGTAAAGTTATACAGTAAATTTCATGTTTTATTGGTGAAGAAAGACGTTGAGTGTCCCATAATGCATTATTTCAGACACAAACAGGAGCACAAGTTAAACCAACCACCAATAACTGTAAGCTAGTTCCATACTTCTTAACAAGAAAGATTTTTCAGTCCCTGCCAATAGACGTAAGCGGCAAGTGGCTCAAAATCTGAGGCTTTAACCATTTGGCCATAGTGGCCCACTGACAGAATCATGATAATGTTTGAAAAATTTAAATAAATATCAGCATGTAGCAAACATTTTTGAAAACAGAAATTACATTTTTCTCCATGGCAACGGCGTTGTTTTGGATATGTACGGCTAATGGGTCATTGTTCTCTTGCATGGTCATTCCCTCGGTGTCGATACGAATGTTTGTGTAATCGTGGCTCTCGCTATCACTCTCTGCACTGTCTATTACGTCTGCAAAAATAGAAATTTGTGCGGAATTTCAATTTATCATAAAGTCGTAATATTCCAGGTCAGATTATTAGATATAAAACTATATTACCCTGACTGCATTTGGGAGAGTATTTGCTTTTATCTTAATGCAAATAATATCAAATTTACCTCAACATGTTTTAAAAAATGTTATTACAAAATTACCAATAAAGCAGATGGCACATGCTTAAAAGTTACTGCTTTACCCTTCACAACACAGCAAATGAATATTTTATAAGGGAATGTTTTATTCATAATAAATATACAGCAAATACTCCTTGATAAAAAAAAACTCTGAAAAAACCATAAGAATATGAAAGCTCTATGCAGGTTCAGTTTTTTTAAAATGCTTATCATATATTTCAACACTTATTATAAAACTTTGCACTCATAAAAAATGGCATAAGAAGTTCATAGAATTATATGGGTAGCAGGCCTTTAAGGGAAAACTTTTTTTCCCCGAAAGGCAAAGACAGAAAATTTAAACTAATGCAGAGAATTTTCTTGACCTTTGCATAAAGAGAATCATGATTGAAACAAATTTAGGCAGATCTCAAAAAGAAAGATATCTTTTGTCTAGATTGAAATAACATAAATGGTTAATCAAAGTATGAAAACTCACTGTCAACTGGTATCGTTTCTATTTTCTTTTCTGGTGTCATAACAACATCGTCAATGCTGATATCCAAACTACGGAACTTTGTGCGACGGAATTCCTCTGAAATGAATTATTGTGTAAAATTGTTGAATAATTCTTAGTATTTTCATAGGAAATGCTTTCAAACTTCTTCCTTTATTCATTACATTGTCTATCTGTAACAGTGGTGGCAGCGAAACTGACTTGTATTTGCCACTAGCACAGAACCAGGCTAGCCAGCACTTCCATGCAGTCTGACTTAGTCATCAGGCCCTTTACTGTTGACTGTCCGGTGTCTTCTAAAATCTGTCAAATTACCCATGGACTGATACTGAAATCTATTGGATTCACCATCAACTTAAATCTGTCAAAATCACAATGGACAGTTTAAAATTCAAAGGACTTGTCCAGAATGCACATTCAGCTGAATTAAATGGGCTTAATGCCTTAACTGCATATAAAATCAATACATAGGGCAACTGTAACAGACAGGTTTTGACTTTTATGAAATTTTATTTAATGGTCACAGCTTTTTCATTCCAGACATTAAGTGATTTTTTGCCAATTTTTTCGGCTGAGAGTCTCATCCAAATTATGATTATTGGAATTCATCCAAAATATAAGAAGTGAAAAAAAACCCCTTATATTTCAATAATTAAATTTTGCTCAATCCTGAATATTTCAATCCTAACAGTTTCCGAGCTAAAACCTTTGGCATAAAGTAAAATATTTGAGACAACTGAAAAAATATTTCAATCCTAACAGTTTCCTTCCAAAAACCTTTGGCATAAAGTAAAAGAGTTGAGACAATTGATACTGCTAACAGATATATGGCCTGACAAACTTAATGGAAAATGTCCCGTGTTTTTTCAGTTTCTAGAAAGATATCATCCTTCTCTCATACATCAACAGAAACCTTTCCCGCAGGAAACAAACTTTTATAACGTAAAAAAATTTACATTTCAAACCTGCCTCAAGTGTATATATAGAATAAAACTTGTCAAGACAATCTAAAAGGCTCTGGTGCTGTATTGATTATTTCCCTTTATTATGGTAAAATAAATAAACAAAAAAACGATTTCATTTCTTTCTAAATTGCCGACTTTATGCACATTCTGTGCATTCCATAATAAAAGGTCCATAAACATGTTGGAATAATTTGAAGTTCTACTCTGCTAAATTAATACAAGCTATAATATCACTCACTCCCTCTGAATAACAAACAGTCTTCACAAGATATCTCTTTGAATATTTTAACACAACAGCTATTCTATATCATTTATGCAGACTAATGTAACCTTGACCTGCAACGGCTTTAAAAACTGCAATGTTAACATTAACTGTCATTGGTGCAAGTTGAAAATATCAGTAAACCTAAATACCCTGAATTAAGCATTTCTTATTGGTTTTATATAGTAAGAGTGCTTTCAGGAGTATTAAAAAACCTGAATGGCAAATGCCTAAAAACTTGAACCCATGTGTTAAAGATGTAGTCAGTACTTCTTAGAAGAAGGTTCCATGTATCTTGTACTATTCTTTATTCATTTTGGTCTGCAGATATCTCCTAACGATAACCCTGTAAGAACCTTCAAATTTCTTTAGAATTTCATTTCTTACTAGGTAGATCCTCAGGATTTTAACCTTTGCCTTATTCAGGGCTTTTTTGGAAGTTTGAATTTGGAACCGTCAACTGTTTGTTTCAGGGGATATCAATGTCAATCATATAAAACTTGAGTAGTCAATAGTATATAGTCTTGTTAAACTGCACAGTGGTGCTGGCTGGCCCAACTACACTGACGGCAAAAGTATCATCACCAGCATTTGAAGGGTTCATATAAATAAATAGTAATATGTTCCATAAAACGAACCTGAATATCTAAACGGATGACAATATAAAAAGAGTTATATTCTTAAGCTTTTCACAGCTGTGTATATTTGTGAAATTGAATCAGTTACTCACTTTAAGTACAATACAGAAATTTTGTGTCCCCATAACATTGTCATATATAGGAAAAATCAGAATCTAATGAAATTTAATAGGAAATATAATAAGTTTACTGTATTGTCAAATTTCATCTATTTTCTAATATTGTCTATGTCTCCAATATTACATACAGCATTGCGAGGACCTGATATTGACAAAGAACGAGAAATCTTTCATTTCCAGGATAATACGCCATTATTCTGATATTAAACAATTTCCTGTCTGAATAAAGCAATACTGCACAATGGAGGTCACATGGTACGGTTATTTTCTGCGTTCAGATACACTTACATTACTTTACTGTAAACAATCACATAAATTATGCAACCGTTCTTTAGTCAGAGTAACAGTGATTCGCTGTTTTAATTAAAATGGCAGTAAATCACTAAATGTACAGAAGTGAAGATTCATTTATAATTCATTAGATAAAGATTAAACATCTTTGTACATACATGTACTTGTTATAATATGTACAGATTTACATATGTTATAAAATTAAAAAATCAAGTTCCCCAGCAATTATAAGCAAAGGACACAAAGGGATTTTCCTGTTGCTGGTTAATAAGTGATGAGATTTAACCATTATAAAGACAAAATACCTGATAATTCAATAATCAGACAACAGAAAAATACCACCATCATCATTATCTTTAGAGTTTGAATGTTCATTCTCATTAAACCACATAGAGGGAAATGTTTTGTTTTGGAATTTTAATCCCTTGTCTTGAATAAGGAGGATTGTTACTGTCAGCTGTAAAAATGAGGTTTTTCTACATTCATTGACTTTATTATCATAATACATGTGCAATTCTATGAAAACTGTGGAGGTTTTATTTTCAGTTAATTCTGCCAATCATAGTTCACTGAAGAGTCATCTTTTCTTTTGTAAATATCTATATATACTTACCAATTACTGGCCGGATTTTCTTCTCCAGCTCTGGATCACGTTTTGTCATATCAATGGCACTTTCGATTCTTTCGTTAATCAACATCAAATGCTTGACAAGGGATTCACGAACACGGAGTGCCTCTTGTGGATCTGTGTCACGGAGATGCTCGTATCTGTTCACTGTGTGTAGACGGTCCTTCTCCTCGACACGGATGTACTGCTGCAGGTAGCTGAGTATCTTAGAGGTCTGAAATATTACAATGGCTATTAAAATATCTGATCATCTCAATGTCTAATACATCATTTATTATAACTGTATTTTGTCAGATTTTACATTCAGAGATCACCTCTCTAACAACCTTTTTCAAAGCTTTTCAATAATTTGCATGACCAATATTATTCACAAATTCAGACATTTGTGTACATTTTAACACTAATGCCTGCTTGAAGCAAAGATTCTAGCCATAAGTGCGACAGGCAGGGTCCATTGGTCTCACTGGGTTCATATTTAGTGCATATTAGTTATTACCCTAAAAATATTAATGATTTTCTCTCAAGTGAAAATGATATTTGAACATATAGGTTAAGAATAGGATTCCATAAAAATTAAGCAATTCAAAAGATACACAGAGTCAAATAGAGTCAAAACTCTTACTTAATTAATTTTGACTGTCAAAAAGTCTTTAAGTCAAAAGTCAAAAAGACATTACAACTTGGAAAAGCTATATTAACTCACAGCTTTCTCCTGGACAATTTGCACATTCATGGAATTGCTATCTGTCTGTTTATCAATACACACAGATTTGTTATTGTAAGAAAACAATGGAATTTGATGAAGTCTGTATCTTAGCACAGTCAGCAGAATCTTAAATCTTTTGGCCAGTCAGACAGACTCTAACATTTATGGGCATAATAAACATAAGGTCCTGGTAAGCCTCTATCACAGACAACTTCCCTGTGTAAACTGGGAAAATGTACAAAAGATCTTTATTAAAGTTTACATTCCAAGAGTCTGCAAGTATTTAAATAAAGCACTGAAGAGTATGAAGTATTTGTTTTTTTACCCTTGGATGATCATCTTCGAGCTCTTCCATGTATTCTTTCCTCAGAATGTTCTTCTTCCTGTTGAACATGGCCTGTACCTTCTGTTGATGTAGACTCACCAACTGTTTCTTCTCGCTCTTACCTTCCTCTTCAAAGGCATGATACATTTCTTGGAATTTCTACAATCAAAAATTACACATATCAATTCTATAACCACCTTATTATCTTATTTGGTCAATTTTGGTGTCCTGAAATGTTAAACTGATGGCTTAATGCCTTAAATTTAGAGCTGAACATTGCTAATTTTAGGGATTTCTAAAATATGTTTTTATTGTCAACCAGCTGAATTTGTGTATGGACTTTACCTGCTTTTAACTGGACCAGTCTTTTTGAATTTAAAGTGATTTCATTAACAGCATACAAAAATTGAGCTGCAAACAGTATAAGAGCCAGGTAAGACTGCACCGATGGGCAAGCTGGCCTAGTTCTATACTAAAGGCAAAGGCTAACCACTTTTTACTTAACAGGTTAACACTTACATTTAAATGGAAATAATTACAACTGTTTGGCTTATTGGTGGATGGTGACCTTAGCACCTTCCATAAACTAGCTGGATAAATTTCTCACGTGAAAAATCAATGTCTCAGGCAGGATTCAAATCAACTAGTATAGGAGTTAAAAAGATTCAAAACAGACTTATACTTGTAATATAGATCTAAAGTCACTGGCAGTGCTAAATAATTTAATCAACTTTGGTGTTTTGGGGGATGGGGTTTATTACCTCTGTAATTTTCTTGTTCAATAATTCTGCAGCTGTCTTGTTTGTTTTCCTCATCTCAGCAACTTGTTCACGAGCCTCTTGCCAGTCCTTCATCATCTGCAAGAAGAAATTACATCAATATTTTCATACCCATATTTATAACAACATATTCGATTACCCCTTACATTGCTTGAATACATTGCTTGAATCATATACATTATGTATAATGGTTTGACTATGTTTATATTGCTAAACTTAATGATGCGAACAGTATAGAGCCTTGTCAGACTGTACAAATGTCTGGTAAGACTGCACAAATGTGCAGGCAGGTCTGGCTCTATACTGGTAACATAGGAAAGTCATCATCATCAGTGTCAGCATTATCATACACAGTTTTCATTTTTATCTTAGGCATGAGATGTGCCAACAAAAAACAACTGATATGGCTAAGGGTCAAGAGGGATATTTTAATCTACAGGCTGAAAATACAACCAATCATAACAGCATTTCAACCAATGATATGGATCGCCAATCTGTTCATGAACCCAGTAAATGTATCATCACTGATCATCATTTCTTACAAGATTAGATGGCAACTAAAGAAGTCATTAAACAAAGGACTATTCCACAGTTTTGTTATTTAGAAAATGGCTTTAATAATGCAAGTTCCTCAGCTGCTGCACTGAAATTCTCTCTGATCATTTAAAAAAAAATACAACATTAAAAGTAATCTAGAACGAGATATTGTTAACAAAATGGCTTAATTTGCTTGCAAATATGCCACACATGTGACCTATGGTCTACAAGGAATAACAATGACAGCTGTCACTAAACCATGCCCATTTATATGGCAGAAAAACCATCTATGTATACATTAAGAGTACATTAATTCTTTTAACACCTGAACTTATTATTTTTATTGCTTTTTAATGTCGTATTGGCAAGGAAATGTATTTCTGTATGCGATTCTAATAAAGACAAAATGTGAGACACTTTTTTATCACCATGTTTATATGAGAGATTTATGAGGAGGAGTTGCCAACTCTTTGTGGAGAAATGAGAACTGGTACAGAAACTCAAACACTTATTGGGCAACTGGTAACTAACAGCTAACCGAAATACAAATAAATAACTGTTCCAATCTAACTATAAACCCAAAGGACATGCTTTAACTCAATTAAAACATGATCAAATCAAAATATGCTAGAAACAATTTAAGATACAATATTAAAATAGCAAAAACAGTGTTGAAATACATGTACCAATAAATCAAACGCTGTTTGTTCTGCGACCATTTTTCTCCTAAACATATATCTCAACATTCCATCAGAGTAAGTCAACATTCTTCCCAGTTCAAAACAATCACATTTTTATGAAACACCATGGCAAAAGCCTCTGGGTCGTTTGTATCATATTTGCTTTCAGTAATAATCACAAGGGACATCTGATTCCACTTCTCTGTCCTCCTTAAGACAATTAGTACCACATATATTCAGGCTTTCCTATATGGATGTTTTTGCATTATCTATGAAGTTAAAGGTCAATACATTTACTGGTAAAAGCCGAGAGTGTATTATTATAGTGACGAAGCTGACAACTAGTTGCCATCATTAATCAGGTCTCATCAAATGTTTTACTGAGCAAATAACCGAGATCTTCCCTTACTTTACTGTCAAGATATATCATGGCTTTAAGGCAGATGCGAAAGGATGAAATCACCAATGTTAAGTATCCAACCATTAAAACATGATATATTCAACAATTAACAACAAGAACAGACAAATTGTAATAGTACTTGAATTTTACATTGGGTGTTGAAATTAAAATCATATACTGCAACTATTACCCTGGTGAAACTAACAGTGATGAGCCTTTGCAAACAGTTTAGAGCAAGGCCCGTTACCACAAGGCATCACTGATCAACATTTATCACATTATCCAAAAAAATTGATAATGCATGGACAGTTAAAAAAAAATGAATGCTTAGTACAAAAATCTGGAAAAAGGGACAACGGGTGATCCCTAGGAAGCATTAATCACAACAAAATTATATGAAACTTGCAGACTCTGTTTGATTGAGTCTGTACTACATGAGTAATACTGAAAGAGTGGAACATGCCTAACACCTCCTAGCAACAGTAAACAGTAGTACTAGCCTGCAAGTTAAGTTTCACAAACATTCATGTCATAAATACCAATTCTTAAGGGCACTGGCAAAAATAATTCAAATCAAACAGCCATACTACTGATGTGAGAGGGGGCATTTATATGTGGCTTTACGGTATATGGATTACATTTACACGAAGGGATCAAGTGTACCCAATAGTTAGATATCTCTGAAACGTCTTGATGTTTCAGCGTATTCCATGATTTATTCATACAACATCAATCTTTCTGCCACTAGCTGTAAAAGGAATCAAATAATTGATTTTTCTTCCAAACGGTAAAAGAATAAGAGTTGACCGAGTAGAAATTGATTCACCTTCTATACTTGGCCACGTTACAAATCTGTCATTTTAACATTCATTGTCATTGAACAAAAAAACCTGTTGGTAATTTACTAAATAATAAGACCAGTTAGTTGTTATCATCCAGCTCAACAAATATTTCAGCGCACATTTACGGTTTGTTGTTTTTTTCCCTTCTTTTCTTCGACTTTATTCAGTTATTCAGACAAGCGATAAAATATTGTACATTCCAGTAAAGAAAGATTGAAAGTAAATCATACTCTCAGACAATGTTATTACACAAGACTTTATATGGGTTCTGATGCTTGTTTACTGCTGCCTTAAATTAGCTGGTAGTTCAACAGTCTAGCATACAGTCTTCACATGGAAAAAAAAGACAGAGTCAACCTGAATCATATCACACCACTGATGGGGAAAAATGGTTTTAGATGGCTTTATATACAGACATATCATTGAAGAAAAAACCCAACATTTTGTCAAGTCCATTATAATAATACAGCACGATAAAGGTGTTTTCATGGTACAATTTGCTCAACGCTTCAGCAACCACATAACAACTTAATACCTCTACAATAATTACAGTCATTACAAAAACTTTCCTAAAACTCATTAGTTAAACAATACAAATTTTCTGTTATTTCTGTTGAAAATGACATAACTATAGACAAGCCCATTAAAAAACATCAAACAGAACCCCAGCTCTCTCATCTTGCAGGCAATCAATTATCTACCATCTATTGAATTTACCAAGAAAGACAAGAGCAGGCAAGGGGAATTAAATTATTGATCCTAACGTTTTTCAATGAGTAACAAACACACTTGTCATCCTAAAGCAGCACAAACACAAGTACCAGTAGAAGAAACTTAAAGGGAAATTAGTGCAAGAAACTCAAAGGGAGATAAGTACAAGAAACACAAAGGGGGATAAGTACAAGAAACTCAAAGGGAGATAAGTACAAGAAACTCAAAGGGAGATAAGTACAAGAAACTCAAAGGGAGATAAGTACAAGAAACTCAAAGGGAGATAAGTACAAGAAACACAAAGGGGGATAAGTACAAGAAACACAAAGGGAGATAAGTACAAGAAACACAAAGGGGGATAAGTACAAGAAACACAAAGGGGGATAAGTACAAGAAACTCAAAGGGAGATAAGTACAAGAAACTCAAAGGGAGATAAGTAATAAAACCAGAAATGTGTCCATAACACACAGATGTCTAAACATTCCACTGTTTTGTCAATCTATGAAAGGATTAACGGACAAGGGTAAATCTTTTTGCACCCCTCCCCTAAGAATCGGGGCCATAAAACTCTAGTATCTTAAGAAACAACAAAACTTTATAGCAGGTGATATCCCTTTACCACTCTAAATCTATATTTACAATGAACTTGCCTTTCTTAAAATTTGAATACACTGTTAATTAAATTTACAGGGTTTGACAAAAATACTAGATGCAAGTGAAAACATTTGTAAGTGTATTCTTGAAATATCAACCAGAACACCGAAATTTAAAACTACTGAAACATTTGTGACTGAATTCTTGAAATATTGACAAAATGCTTCAACTCAAGCACAAAATTGTGACAAAATACCAAACCTATTAAAAACAATAATGGATAACATTGTAAGTGAATAATTTATGAGTAATTTCCCAAGGATTCTTCAGGGAACAAATTTGAAATTATACTGAATATCAATAAAGTAGAGCATATCACTTTATTACAACAGCAATGTCACAGACAATATGGTTTGAAGGACTGATTATAAAAAGGAAAATTTCTATCCCTTGTCAGAAGTCGAGTAACTGTCTTTTTGCTTGACATGTAAAAATGTGAGGGAATGTCAGATTGACTATTTTGATCCTTTATGGATTTGATGAAAATGATATTTTGTAAAATTCTAATGTGTGGCTTTACTTCTGGAAAAAGACCATAATCATGTACATGTAGTAACTATTCCAGGAAAAAAAACGTAACCGTAGATAAGGCCCCCACGATCACGCGTTTAAACGGATTCGTTTCGATTTTCATTCATAAACGTTTACGATATTGTTTACCGTTTAATCGAAATGACCATATTGTCTTACAAAATTTCTTAATCATTGCCTGTAATCATGGATTTGATCAATTCTAGTGGTTTATTCCAAAGTAAACAAACGGAAAATGGGTGTTTACAACCCTCCACACAGCATTACCGTGCAAAATTGCTCGTGACATAATACATTTTTGGTAAAAAATGGGGATACAATGCAAAAAATGTGTGCTGACTCAATCGTGATGAGACTTGCACATTCTTTATTTGTACATGTATAAAAAATAGAAAGAAAGACATCATTTGGCGACTCAAATACATGGTGTGTAATTGTACATAGAGGTACCACCGTTTAAACGGTATCGTTTCGGCTTTACTAGTGGAAAAAGACTGTAAACACCATCTATGTACATGTTGTAACTACTCCAGGAAAAAAGCCGTTACTGTAGTAGAATCATTGACTTTCTGTAATATACATGTAGCTGGATAAATTAAGATTTCAAACTCATTATCTAGTGGGTTTTTTTCTCCAGTAGAACAGGTTCAATCAAAACAAAGGCATGTCATTTTACGAAAAATATTTAACACATAATACTATATTTAAAAAAAAAAATTTGT